ATACACAAATACTTTTGTCCAGGTGTATTTATAGCAGTAAAAAGATACGCAATGAATTTTAAGTTACTAAGTAGTATTCAGCAAAACGAATGTACCAGACTGATCTATGAAGAATTTGCCTCTCTGAACTTCCAGTAACTGAACCATATTTCAAACTTCAATGGTATGTATCTATACCAGCAGATTTCTAATTCGGCTGCGTGTCCGACAAGAAGGGTCTCGGCGAAGTTTTTAATTGTCGGTTCAGTACGTTCAGTGAGTGTTGTGAATTGTGCGTCGAAGCTACGATTCTATGCGAGTTACAACAATTTAGTAATCCAGACGAGATGTTGCAGACTCGATTCAATCAATTTCACAGGAGAAATTAAAAGTGATACAGTTTAATTTGCAAGAGAAATTGGACCGGATGCAGCACAGTTTACAGGAGGAAACCCCTCACTCTTGATGATGATATTGAAATGAACCAATCTGGATCAACGGGTGGTGAGGTTCTACTGTGCAAGGGACATCATTATGCGCACGAGTTGCCACAGATGACTGATATTGAATATGTAACAAGAAAGTCCAAGAACATGAAAAACTAATATTATTCAATAATTATACGTATTAATGGAAAACGACATACAATATTAGATCTTATTGGCGATGTAGCAGTCTGAAAAGTTTAAGATGCCGAACAAGAATAATATCCTAAATAGTTTCAGCCACAGTTTATGTTATAAGATTATTATTTCAATATTTTGTAATTTTATTTTGTTAATATTCTATTATTCTAGTATTATAATAAACCTTTTTTGTAAACCTCAACAATTTTGTAATTTGATAAAGTTTTGATTGAAAAAAAAAACATCGGTGAGTCGTAAAAGGGAATAGAATATGGACAGGTAAAGATTGCATCAACTGTTTGAAAATGAGGATAAACACTTTACCAGCAAGAAGCAGGACATGGGTCGAAGCCACAAATTCAGAATCGACAGACAACGCTGTCGTGAACTATATCAAAAGAGCCTTAGAGAAAACCCATTCTCAAGTATACTCCGAGCCAATATCTAAAGTCTAGTCAAGGAAATGGAAAGCCAGAACTGATATCTGTTCAAGACAACGGGGCCCTTCTCCTAGACGCCCAAGTTGTCGGGGGCTCCACATATATGGGAGCAGCACATAAACGCAAAATACTTTACTATCAGGATTTGGTCGAGACAATAAAACTGTGATATACCACGACTGACGTTAAAGTTAACACGATAACCCTAAACAATACAGTGGTACGGAATGAAACATTTAGTAGAAGAAAAAATTCTTGAAAAGAGATGAATTTAAAATAATTTTAACCAGAGTTCTAATATGCGGGCTGATGGGGTTTGGTAGATGGTCGAAATGTACCAGTTATCGACGTACAAGAGAAGGTATCGGGTGGACTACATGACTCACGCCAGATACTAAGTGTGCTGCCTGCGCATAACAACCATCAAGCATAATGGTTTATAATAATTCGGAGGTTACAATAAGAAATTCGTTTCCTTTACCAAATATTTTAGAAATTTTAGACCACTTAGGCAATTCCAATTTTTTTTTCGACCATTGATTTGGCTTCTGGTTTTCGCCAAATACCAATAAGCAAGAATGGTAAGTTTAAAACTGCTTTTTTGACTCAATGCTCCCATATTCATTTTAAACGTATGCCATATGGTTTAAAAAATATCCAGCAACATTTCAACGGCTGATGAATTCTGTCTTGTTTGGGCTGCAAGGAAGAAAATTTTTTATCTACTTAGACAATATTGCTATTTACTCAAATACTCTTGAGAAACATTTTAAAAGATTAAGTGGCATAAAGCCCGATAATTCAAACATTGATGCAGTCATAAATTTTCCAGTTCCAAAACTGCCAAAGAATATAAAATCATTTCTTAGATTAGCAGGTTACTATCGAAAGTATATCGGAAACTTTTCCAAGATTTCGAGACCTTTGAGCGAGCTTCTAAAAAATTAATCTATTCATATGGTCTTCATCTTAGCAACAAGCTTTTGAAACTTGAAAGGGTCTTTTGACTAGTGCCCCAGTTTTACAATACCCGAATACCCAAGAGACTTTCAATGTAAGAGCTGACGCCCCTGGCACTGGCGCGAATTTATCACAAGGGGACATTGGTAAGGATTTGCTAGTTGCGTTTGCTAACAGAACGTTAAACAAGGCAAAGGAAAACTATTTTACTGTCGAAAAAAATTATTAGCTGTTGTTTGGGCAGTGTGTCTTCAATCGGCTCTTGATATGGCTTATGAATTTAAAAGGAACTTACTTTTATGAGAAATTCTTAAAACTATCATCGGCCGGAATTAAAGAAACATTATTGGAAATTTATGAAAACCTGTGACATATGCCAACGAAGTAACTTTGTTTGCGCCGCACCTGCATAGGTTGTCGGACCTATCGGAAGGTTTGTTTTTCTACTCGGACAACACGTTTCAAATTTATGCAATCGGGCAATTCTGACTCATAAAAAGGCCGATGCAGGCAATAGTTCTGGATTCGAGTCTATTCATTTCCGTGCCTTTCATTCGTTCAGGTACTTTCAGTTCCCTTCAGTGTTCAAGTCTATTCATTCCGTGGCTTTCATTCATTCAGTTACTTTCAACAAGTACATTCAGTTCCATTTAGTGTTCGAGTCGATTCTTTCCATGGTTTTCATTCATTCGGTTTAATTCATTCAATCAGTACATTCAGTTCCTTTCAGTGTTTGTTATCAGTTCAATATTATCAGTGGATTAAGTTTCTATTGGGTGTCAAGTCAGCCAGTTGTTTTTGTTTTGTTATCAGTGTGTTCAAATTCCCTTTCAACATTTTCAACCGACTACGCTGATGTTTCCAGATCCAACCAAATAGCTGCCGCGGCTTGGACTTCCAAACAGATAACATTTTTCATGCAATATTAATTAGTGTTCATTTTTGTTTTTCTTCATTTATATAAAATTTATATAGAATATATTTTAGTTTATTATTAATAACGGATTAAGAAGAACTTTATTTTTAATTTATATTTGTTTTCCAATTAGTTTTTTGTTTTCTGCATACATTTAATTTTTTTTATTATTCCTCGGAGTATAAATTACTTCGAAAGGGGTTAAGAAACCCCCCAACAACAACATTTGGTCCTTCGAGCCGGATCCTAATTATTTTTAGAATTAATTGGGTGTATACAGAAAACAAAAATATATAATGGCGCCTAAAATCGATATTGGTGCAGAAATTGCACGTCTAACCGTCAAGAGAGAGATGTACTTTTCAATTGTGCAAGAAACGTACGATCTATCGCAACAAATTGATAAACCTTCAAATAAGACTCAATTTCTTGAAAATTTATATATTACTGAAAATGCTCGTGAACAATTTATTCAATTGTGCGATGAAATAAATAAATTAAAATATTTAGATAATCCTAGTTTCATTCCGGAATATTCCGCAATAAAGGCCCTTGAAACGATGTACGCCAAAATAAAACACGCTGAGAAATTATTAGATAATAAAAATGTGCATAGTTCTTCAATTAAAGACATTGTACCCAAACAACATTTACCGTCCATTGAAGTACCTAAATTCTCAGGTGATATCCAACAATGGCCATTATTCTATGAAACATTTAATTCATTAATTCATGAAAATACAGAGTTAGATAATGTATCAAAATTCCATTTTTTAAAAGGAGCGTTACAGGGTCCGGTATTAAAAATATTTCATTCGATACTACCGACCGAAAATAATTATCAAATTCTTTGGGAAGCGCTCATCAAAAAATACCAAAATATACGCTACTTAGCCACAAATTATTTCAAACAACTATTATCATTCAAAACCATTTCATCTGGACAAATAAATTCATTCCTTGAAAAATTCGATACTGCGGTGCAAGCGCTTTCCCAATTAAATATTCCCGACGCCTATGATTTCTTAATAACGTCACTAGCATTCTCGAAACTCGATCCGTTGTTACAAGAAAAATTCGAGCATTTTTATCAAGCTGAATTTCCCAAATACCAAGACCTCCTGCAGTTTCTTCAAAAATCGCAACAGGCAAAAAATCAAGTATATGGTATGACCAACAATTTCACTAATGAAAAACCAAATTACAAAAACACTAAAATTAGCCGGTCATTTTTGTTGAAAAATAAATATGATAACAAATGCCTTGTGTGCCGGGAACAACACAGAGTGTTTACTTGTTCGAAATTTTTATCATTGAGTATACCTGATCGGCGATCCCTTATTCAAAAATTAAACTTATGCGACAATTGTTTGGGTCATAAGATAACGACTACGTGTCGATCGAATAAAACCTGTTTATTATGTGACGAACGACATCACTCATTATTACATACTGGTAGCAATTTTGCGAGTACGGATCAAAATAATCTTTCTAATTCCAAATCAAATAGTACCGTTTTATGCGCATTTAATCAAAATAGCAGTAGTAAAAGTTACTACTAGAAAAGAAAACATTTTATTACGTACAATTATTGATTCGGGAAGCGATAGAAATTTTGTGACATTAAATTGGTGCAAAAAGGCTGATTTACAAATTCTTCCAATATCAATCCAAGTGATCGGGTTAGGTAATTCGTCACATAAAGTTATTGGATTAGTTAATTTCACTTTGAAATCTTTAATCGATTCTTATCAGTTATCGGTCTGTGCATACGTAGTACACGAGATAGTGGGAAAGCAACCACAAATTACCATTCCGATTTCATCCATCAAAACATTTCTGAATTATCCTTTAGCGGATCCTAACTTTCATACACCCCAGGAGGTCGACGGAATTTTGGGTTGCGATGTTTTTGGTGAAATTCTTGGCACTAATCAGGTTAAAAATGATAAAGGATTACCTGTGGCCCTAGAAACCCGGTTGGGTTATCTAATATTAGGTTCCATTCCTGATTTATTTAAAAATACCGGCACTTCTACTAATTTATGTAATGTTTCAGATTCAGATTTTCATTTACAAATGAATAAATTCTTACAATTAAAAGACATTCCCGAAATAATCCCCTCTTCTAACGATGATTTATGCGAAAACCATTTTACTACAACTACTACGCGATCTCCAGATGGACGATATGTAATAGCGCTGCCTTTTAAAAATGAAGGCAGAAATTTATACAACTCATTTCATTTAGCCTTAAAGCGATACCACATGCTTGAAAATAAATTTTTAAAATATCCCGAATTTCATAAGAAATATGCCGCCGTTATAGAAGATTACCTCACTCAAAACCAATTATCCTTTGTCGATTATTGTCCGGTAGATCATGAAGTCGATGATTTTATTAAAATAAAAAATGGATATTATATTCCACATTTCGCAGTCGAAAAAGAAAGTTCCTCCACGCCTTTACGCGTTGTGTTTGATGCATCTGCGAAAAATTCAGAATTCACTTCCTTGAACGAAATTTTGCATGTTGGTCCTAAATTACAAACCGACATTTGTTCAATCCTTCTAAATTTTCGTTTCGGGCCTATAGCATTAACAGCTGATATCAAACAAATGTATCGTAATATTTGGGTTCGTAAACAAGATAGAAAATATCAAAAAATCTTATGGAGACCGTTTCCCGATGCAACTTTTGGTCTATCGTCATCTCCCTTTCAAGCTATCAGAACTATCAAACAACTTTCCCGAGACGAATGTTCCAAATATTCTCAATCTATTTCTAGAATTCTTGAGAACGATGTCTATATTGATGATGTGGTTACAAGTATCGACTCCTTGGATAGCGCTAAAACTATTTGCGAAGGTTTACAGACTGTATTACCGTCTGGTGGTTTTGAATTAAAAAAGTGGGAATCTAATAATTCTAATCCACGTAAACTTTTTCCTAATTCTGATGTACAAAACAAACATTTCTCTAAATCGGATTTTGAAATAGAAACTTCTACAAAGGTATTGGGATTAAAATGGGATCCCTTATCAGATAATTTTTCATTCGAAATAAAGCTTACGTGGAGAAAATGGACAAAGAGACAACTTCTTTCAGTAATAGCGCGAATCTGGGATCCTCTGGGTTTCCTAACTCCGATAGTTGTTAAGATAAAAATATTATTGAAAAAAATTTGGACATTAAAAATCGATTGGGATGAGGCATTACCCTCATTTATTATTACATCATGGTTAGCCGTATATTCCGAATTAGAGCATCTTAATAACTATCAGATTCCGCGTTATCTCGAAACGTCAAAACAAAACAAATGTTCATTATTTGGTTTTGCGGATAGCTCAGAGCAAGCGTATGGAGCGGTAGTTTATATTAAATCTCTTGGCAATCCGAATTTCTTGTTGATTTCAAAATCGCGTGTAACACCGATTAAAAACCAAACATTAGCCAGGCTTGAACTTTGTGCTTGTCATTTACTGTCAAAACTTCTGAATTTTATATTAACGAATAACCAACATAGTATAGATTTTGATTCCATTTACTGTTTTTCCGATTCTATGATTGTCCTCCACTGGTTAGCAGGGCCGGCTACTCGTTGGAAGACATTTGTAGCCAATAGGGTAACAAAAATACGGGATCTCATTCCTAATGCACAATGGCTTCACATTCCTTCTAATCAAAATGCAGCCGATTGTGTTTCCCGAGGTGTTTGACCTAAGGAATTTATCCAACATAAGAATTGGTTGTTTGGGCCGGATTGGTTAAATGGTCCTATATCAACTTGGCCTGCAAAAACGGTTGAACCTTCCGGAGATATTGATCAAGAAAGAAAAGCTAACGTTCTAATAGTAAAGAGTGTCATACCACCGATCAATCCTTTATATAAATTAACGCAAAAATTTTCTAATTGGTGCAAACTTGTAAGAATTTTCGCTTATATATTGAAGTTTTGTAAAATTATAACAAATCGAAACCGACTTTTGACTTCAGATTTGAAACAAGCCGAGGTCATTATTATTCGATTAGTCCAAGAACATCATTTTCCCGAAGAATTCAAACTATTAACGAACGGATAGTCTTGTTCGAAAAAGTTTTGCCGACTAAATTTGGTTTTGGATTCTAATAATTGTTTACGCGTTAAAGGTAGATTAGGATTAACAACTAATAACAATCCACTTCTTTTGCCAAAAAAAGACCAAGTAGTAAATTGTCTCATAGATTACTACCATATTAATAATTTACATACTGGATCAAACTTAGTATTATCTTTATTGAGGCAAAAATATTGGATCTTGTCGGCTCGTGCAATAATTCGTAATCGTCTTCACAAGTGTATAACTTGTTTTCGACAGAATCCGAAACCCATTTTTCCATTCATGGGCGACTTACTAGTACCGCGCATAAAAGCCAGTAGAGCTTTCCTAAATGTCGGCGTTGATTATGCAGGCCCCTTCAATATCTCCATGAGTCGTCACAGAGGCGCTCGAACCTACAAGGCTCATATATGCTTGTTCATCTGTTTAGCCACTAAGGCGATACATCTCGAATTAGCTTCAGATTTAACAAGCGATACATTTTTAGATTGTTTGAAACGATTCCTAGCCCGGCGTGGTCCTATTAAATGTATTTACTCCGATTGTGGAACCAATTTTATAGGAGCCAAAAATACTCTTGATTCCTTATTTCTCCTCCTAAATTCCGAAGAGTATAATAAGCGTTTCAATGAATTATTGGTTTTACATGACATTGAATGGAAATTTAATCCACCGTTTGCCCCACATTTTGGAGGTATATGGGAGGCGAATATTAAATCAGTGAAGACCCTTTTGTTTAAAGTTATAGGGTTGCAAATTTTATCCTACGAAGAGTTCAATACAGTCCTCAATCAAATCGAAGCCTTACTGAATTCAAGACCGTTATGTTGGCTGAGCAATGATCCGTCGGACCCTCAGCCTCTTACGCCTGCGCACTTTTTAATGCAAGAGCCTCTGTCGGATTTGCCCGTTGACTATGAAAACTTGAATTTGACTAAAAGAAAACAATTGCTAGATCATATTGTCGCTTCTTACTGGAAGCGATGGAATGTGGAATATCTAACCGAGCTACAGGTCCGACAGAAATGGAATACAGTCACTAATCCTATTAAAAAGGGTGATTTGGTAGTTGTAAAACAAGAGAATGCGCGTCCGCTCCATTGGGGGTTGGGAAGAGTTGAAGAAATTTTTCCGGGCTCCGATGGAGTGATTCGTGTAGCATTGGTAAGAACGGGAAATACCCTAATCAAGCGGCCTGTTGTCAAACTATGCCCCCTACCTATTCAATAGTTTATATCTGAATTATTCATTTCAAAAAAAAAAAACTTTTCTATCTCATGATATATTTGCTTCTATATATAGTTTTGCCAAATTTTCAATCTCCAGGGCGATGAGAACATCCCTCATAGTCTCTGGAAGATTCTTGTAAATGTCCAAAAATCTAGACCCTGGCGCGAAAATAAAACTTCCGCAATCTAGATTGTGTGAATGTGGTAGGTCGTGAGAGCGGGACCCTGGCGCGAGGTCAGGCTTTCGTAACCGATCTACTCTGAATGAAAGTTTGAATTGATTTTGGCAATTCTATCCTTCCTAATCATGAGGTTCACTATGTACCAATTTCGAGTATTTTTCAGAAGTATAAAAGGCTAACCTTTTAGTCGGGGGAAAATGTTTTTTCTACTCGAACAACGCGTTTCAAATTTATGCAATCGGGCAATTCTGACTCATAAAAAGGCCGATGCAGGCAATAGTTTTGGATTCGAGTCTATTCATTTCCGTGCCTTTCATTCGTTCAGGTACTTTCAGTTCCCTTCAGTGTTCAAGTCTATTCATTCCGTGGCTTTCATTCATTCAGTTACTTTCAACAAGTACATTCCGGTCCTTTTAGTGTTCGAGTCGATTCTTTCCATGGTTTTCATTCATTTCGGTTTAATTCATTCAATCAGTACATTCAGTTCCTTTCAGTGTTTGTTATCAGTTCAATATTATCAGTGGATTAAGTTTCTATTGGGTGTCAAGTCAGCCAGTTGTTTTTGTTTTGTTATCAGTGTGTTCGAATTCCCTTTCAACATTTTCAACCGACTACGCTGATGTTTCCAGATCCAACCAAATAGCTGCCGCGGCTTGGACTTCCAAACAGATAACATTTTTCATGCAATATTAATTAGTGTTCATTTTTGTTTTTCTTCATTTATATAAAATTTATATAGAATATATTTTAGTTTATTATTAATTACGGATTAAGAAGAACTTTATTTTTAATTTATATTTGTTTTCCAATTAGTTTTTTGTTTTCTGCATACATTTAATTTTTTTTTATTATTCCTCGGAGTATAAATTACTTCGAAAGGGGTTGAGAAAAACCCCCAACAACAACAAACTTATATAAAAAAAAGGATATCCTATGGTTATCCTAGATACGCCTAAGAAACCTTTTGAAAAATTTTGACATTGTCGGTGCACTTACTATAACTTCTAATAAAAACAAATACATTCTAACTTTTCAGGATACACTAACTAAATCAATATTAGGTAAGTTCAGTAGGAATTTTCTTATAAAAAATCAGGAGGCAGATACTATTTGCAAAGGTTTTATATAAGTGATAATATGTCACTATAGTATTTCTTCTACGATTTTGACATACCAAGGCACTAATTTCCCAAGCGTGCTTCTTAAAAATATTTGTACAATTTAAAAAATCGATGAGATCTAAATTACTGCGTATCAATCAGAATCGAACGACGTTCTTGAAAGATCTTATCGGACTCTAGTTAAATATTTGCAAAATATAATTAAAATTGATCAAACCGGATGGGACAATTGGCATCCCTATGCTATGTTCACACATAACATCTCGTAACATCACTAACTTCAACTCCGCATACCTCCACAGGATTCAGTCCTTTTCGATCAATGTTTGGATACAACCCAGAACGCTCACCTTCACATTCCCTCCATACTCCTTAATAAGAAATGAAACTTAAAATAAATTCTGCTGTCGATGTTGCTCGACAAAAAGTAATTTCTTCTAAAGAAATTTCTGAACAATATTATGATAAAGAAACTGAGTTTAATGTTGAAGATTTGGCACACCTGAAGAAAGAGTCTAATTCTAAAGGAAACCTCCGTAAACATTCTATGGATTGGTCCATACGAGATACAATCGAGAGATTCGCTTGTTAATTTTGCTTCATTGTGTGGATCTAAATCACTAAAGGTTTATATTAATATGATTAAACCTAATGTAATATATTAATTGTATTTAAATTTATACTTTTATCATTGAATGAGGGCCAGCGGTGGCGATATCGGTTAGAGCGTGGGCTAGCAGCAACTAGTTCCAGGTTCGCTGGATCGATTACCGCTACCGCCGTAGCCCGACATCAGGCAGCTTTGATGTCAAATTTCCAATTGAGGTTATAGATCTCAAACATAACCTCAAGTGAAAATCGCCTCTCGTGGTTATAGTTGCATCTATAATAAAAAGTCAGCAAATACTTCGAATATAGATAATTAATCAAACCTGGACTGGTCAACTACTGGGTTGCCATCCATTCATATAATAATAAGAAAAGTCAAAACAATTACTTAATGTCTTAAGAGTGACAGATTATGATTAAAAAAAAAAAAGAAAAAAAAAAACATTGAATGAAGTTAATCAAATAATGTTTTCTATTAAGTTCATTATCTAGATTAAATTTTCCTAATTTTAAGTTTTCATATTTTAACACTAATTTTATATATGCCATTTCTATTTTTCTGGGTTGTGAATTTCTATAATTAATAATTTGATTTATGATTATAGTACTGAACCCTAGCTAGAACTATAATCTTCTTATGATGGATGTGCTTACTAAGTATCAAGTTTTTGGTGACACACGTTGTTATATGTACTCAGTGGAATGGCAGAAGCGTGGACTACCGCATGCTCATATCCTAATTTGGTTGCTCAATAAATTACATTCAAATGAAGTGAATGACATATCAGCTGAAATTCCTGATCCAGTCACTGATCCCCATCTACACGACATTGTGACGACACAGGTGCATGGACCGTGCGGTGCAATTAAATCCATTATCGGCTAATGGAAAGTGCACAAAACGATATCCGCGACCGTTAGTTGCCCACACATTTACAACGAACGATGGATATACAGTTTATTCGTCGGCGTTCAAAAGAAGATAATGGTCGAACTATCAAAGTTAAAGTTCAAAATCTTGCATCGCTTGCGCATTCAAACTAATAATCCTGATATCCAAATAACCGATAAAATCTACAATGAAGGATTGATTCTGATTGAGAATCAATGCTTGACTATTGCAAACAAGCTACTAATTGAAGTAGGAATGATTGCGCCAAATCGATCGATGCACGATGCATTCAACCAAGAATTAAATCGAGAGCTGCAATACAATGTTAATACATTGCAGGAATTCGTTCGAAATAATGTGTCGTTTCTGAATGAACAGCAAAAACAAGTATACGAAACATTAATGCAAGCGGTGGTCAATAATACTGGTGGTCTATTCTTCCTGGACGCACCTGGAGGAACAGGGAGAACATTTGTCATTTCATTGATTTTGGACACCATTCGATCAAGATGTGACAAAGCTTTGGTGTTAGCATCATCTGGAATTGCAGCTACTCTTCTAGATGGAGGTCGTACTGCACATTCTG